TATTTCATGGCGGTTATGTTTATTTGTACAAGTTCAATAAGAATCAGCTTTCCTTGTAAGAGGACCAATTAAAAACACTGGTTATATTACCAAGGCTTTGACTGGAATGCCATACCTGAGAGACACGTGTGTAAACTCAGATATGAACAGACAGCTTTAAGGAACTAAGATTGACTTTATAAAGCTAACAAAGCCCCTTAAAAGAACTGGCCTAGTACCTTGCTTACAGTTTCCAGCAGCCTTACCAGGTGAGTAAGGAAGGTCACTTCCTGGCAGGTGCAGGACACTCAAGAATGTCTTGGGAACCTCAAGAAGAGAAGAATTCACCCAAATGTACAGGTACTGCAGGCACAACCTGATGGCAAGTCTGGCTTGGCTTTCTGGCCTCAAGAAGCCTTTAAAAGTCCAATCTGAAATTCCTTATAAAAAGTTCCAGCAAAGCACATTTAAAAGAGCCTATGTAATCAATTGCTCTTCTTGCTGCACTTATGCTAATAATCAAGCCAACTGTTAATTATTTTCTTAATCTAGCTACTTCTAATAAAAATGAGAGTCATTTTAGAGAAAAGTATTGTTTCAATAATGCAGTCTTATCTATACTAAATCCTAATACTAGTCATTGAGATGTAAACTCGATCCAGAATTCCAGTCCCCCATAATGGCCTGGCTAATGCCCCTACTGGGCCCCTTATTAACACTTTGTGGTTTACTCTTAGTTGCCCCTTATGTCCTCAGGTTCCTCCAACAGCGGCTAACCCAGATGACCCAGGTCGCCACCAACCAGATGTTACTTCACTGTTACGCCCCCCCCTCCTTCGGCCTAATACCAGCCTCAAACCCCCATGATGCCCCTTGTCAGCCGGAAGAAGCCAGATCAAGTCGTCGCCCATTATGATCAAAAGGCTGGAATGTTGGGCTGAAGGAAGGAAAAACAAGGACATGCAAACAGAACAGAGAGATACCATAAAAGGAGAAAAGACCAGACCCCAAGGTCTGTGCCTTATATGGAAAGGGGACAGCTCTTTCTGAATTCCATCCTTCTGACGTGCCAACTAAGACCCGGATATCAGCCTCCTCCCTCTTCGAAGGAAAAAAGTTTCCAGTTGTCTATTGTGTCACCTTTAGCTAATCATACCTCTCCACGCCCCCTAGGATAGCTTGCCCACTCCTTCCCCTCATAATCCCTTATAAGCCCCCACCTCCCTGACAGGGTGTGACTTCCCTGGCCTGTAATACCCAGACCTAGGAACATCACCCAGGAATTGCACTCAAATAAACTGCCTGGCCCTTTGTTGCCTGCTTGTTTCAGTTAAAATTTATCTTACATTTTAGAATTTATCTTACAGTATATATTCCACGTAGGACATTATCCTTCTATGTGTAAAGGCCTCAGGCATGCTACAAAATAACTGAAAAGGCTATACTGTCTTCTCAGATTTGGGAGGCAACCTGGGTCCTTAATTCACCCAGTTCACCAACAGATATTTATAAAACACTTTTGTGCAAAGTAGCAGGAAGAGAAAAACTTTGAAGACTATTCCACCTCTTTAAAAATGTACAGTCTAGGAGAGATGGAGTGGAAAAAGAGACATAATTATAAAACAATGCAATGAATGAATGATACAGCCACGCACAGAGTACTATGGGAAACTCCCAAGTCCTCTACCTAGAATTTGTGTTCTGGAAGTTCTTTTCCAAAGACTGAACTCTCTGGACGGCCAGTGGAAGATGGGGAAGGGCACAATTCATTAACAAACCACCCACTGTACACGGCTGCTGTACTCCGTTTAGTAGTGATGTTAACTTCTGCTTTACTAAATGAAAATTTCTGATTTTATCCCAAATTCTGTGCTGAGGCATTACATCTGTGCAATTTCAAATCAAATTTGGTGCAGAGGTATCTACACTAGTGGAAAACCCAAATTGTGGGTCGTTTGTTTTGCTTACTTTTGATAATACAGAAACAGTAACAGAGTTTGTTAATAGCCCTAAGAGTGATCATTGGCCATCTGGCACATTTGAAAGTAATTCAACAAAGTTAATATCCTCAGGCTACTATCATTTAAACTGTGACTTTCCTTAATAACTTCTATAAGGTTTTAAAAAGGCAGTTTGTTCCAACAAGGAGAGTTAAAAGCAGGCATTTTGACTGCTTTTCAGTTGAATACTTCTTGGATAAGGCAAAAAAAAAGCAAAAGCAGCAAGTCCTTTGGATAAATTAATTGCAGCAAAGCAAAGCATCTAGATTCTTTAGCTTCCTTTTCTAAATCTTTTGCTGTGAGTTTTGAATCAACAATTTCTATGCTAAGTCAAAGACCTCGGGGAAATATAGTTGGAAATACTACAACCTAATGTTTTTGGTTTCTCATTTCTAAACAAAAGAGATGTGATGCCGGTACTCGGCCCCTGGCACTGCCTCAGTTCAAAAGCTTGCATGTAGAGCTAAGGCGACTGCACGCTCCCGGCCGGGGTCCAGTTTTCGGCTGCTAGGAGCCTGCAGGCACACTCGGACCCCTCCCGGCGCTCCTTACAGTTCTGGAAGCAGTCCGCCGCGAGGACTTTCGGCAACCAGTTCCACCTCCTACCGGAACTGGCAGGAAGAATGGTCGCAGCTCCCGCAGGGCTGCGCGTGCGGCGCGTGCGCACCAGGGCGTTAGCACGGCCCACGGGCGCGCGCCGCAGAGCCTGGCGCGTCCACCCGCCCTGGGCCTGCGGGACCAGCCCTGAGAGGCTCCTGGCCGCGATGCCCTCCGAGCCCTCGAATCCTCGGCCTACCGCGCACGGCTCCACTGGCCCACCCGGCGCCTGCTGCGGCGGGTCGCTGGAAGCGAACGCGGGCACCGGGACGGGCCGCAGACCGCGCTTTCCCCGGCTGAAGCTGCGACCTCGTCCCCGGGGCGCCTGCGTGCAGCCCGCATATGCGGACTAAACCCTTCCGCGGTCCCTGGCCATGCGCGGACAGTAGCGCCCCGGTGACCCCCCCGCCTTCCCCGCCGCTTTGAAGCCTTCGCCCCTCCGCCTTCTCACCGCCGGCCGGGAGGGGCGTCCGCACGCTCCGCTGGAAGCTTCAGGAGGCGCGGGCGAGCTCTCCGACAGATGAACAACTTCGCCGGAGGGAGGCGGAAAATGAGTGGGCGGCAGGTGGCGGGGGCTGGCCCGATGGTGGTGCAGGGAGCGGGAGCGAAGAGCAGCCGAGCACGCGCTGGGGCCCGGATCTAGGGGTGACGGGGTGGAGGGGGCTGCAGGACGCGCGCACGCGCCGGACCGCCCCCCACCCCCGGGGCGCCCTGGGAGGGGGCGAAGCTACCCCTCCGCGCTTCCGCCTGCAGAGGTTACGGAGCCGACCAATCAGGGCCACCTGCCGTTGAGAGCTCCAGATTTTGGCTTAATCGAAGTGTGTCCTTGGGCTTTGTTACATCAATATTGCCAAATTAAAAAATTTTTTTCTCCCGTTTGCATTTTACTTTTGCCTTTGGCCCTTTTGACATCTATTTTCAAACCTAAAGGATACTTTTTAGGTGTTCTACTCTTCAGCTTTTTAACTGTTTGCTTTGTTTTTGCTTCAGTGACTTTGATCTCCCTAGAAACTGCCACAGACGGTTTGACAAATACTATAACCTCTCTTTTCCCTTTTCTACCGTGTGGCACTGTTGCCTGAGGCAAAAAAAAAAAGAAGGTCTCCATCTGTTCCAGCCCTAACGGCTCTTGACTTCTCATAAAAAGTCTGGTCACTTGTGACCCATTCCATCCAGTCCCATTTTTCCTAAAAGCTTAATTTATCGCTCGCATCTTCAATCCTTTCAAATGCATCCTTGCCACCAGCAACTAAACGGCCTCAACTTTCCCCTTATTCCTTTCTTTGGGTTTCAGTTACCATCCATAGAAAAGAGTAATTTATAGCTGCCCACTTAGCATTCCCCACTTGTCGTCAAACCGATGGTAGTAACCTTCAAACTTAATTTATTTCCTAGATGCCACATTTAGGTAATGGCAGTCACAGTCACCCAGTTTGTTCATACTAGAGAACGGAGCACTTTTCTTTAAGTTTCTTTCTGCTCCACTTGCCTACCCAACCCACATTCATCCCGCATTCCAACACAGCAATAAGGCATTTTAATCCTGGCTAAGTGCCAGGATTTGTTTTTTAATACTGTGAAGTTTTAGACTTATTCCAAGATGCTGTCATTACTGTATTTTGGGTTGAATTCCTCTAAGAAACACTTTGTCCCCCTAGTGTGACTTACCTTCTATTATTCACCTTATTCAGACTTTTTCTCCAAATGATTTTAAGTCAAAGTATCAAATTAAGAATTGAGGATGACCACTTTGGAGAATGCCTGTGCTACAGGATTCTGAAGATGACTTCAGAAATGAGTCTAATTTCCTAAAATGGTTTGAAAGGAATCATCCTTGTCTGGACATTTAAGTTCTGGTATATTTATTTAAAATACTGTTCTCTTTGGTCATAATGTAACATTCATTCACAAATTTTCAAAATACAGTATTCTAAGACACACTAAAGGTAACTGTTCAGAGAGTAACAAACTTTTTTGATACATTTCAGAAGGTATTCTAGAATTTCAGTGTGAGTCATTTTCTGTTCTGGATTACAGATGTAGAAAAGGTTTTAGGGACTGAACTCAGTACACATTCTACCTATTTGATACCTCTAAAGGTTTTCCTGAAAACTCCAGTTAACCTCCTTGCATATTTTCCCTTTTATGTCTCCCTCTTATTAGATGCTGCACAGTATTCAGTTTGTGATTTCTTCATTAATGTTTGGATTTTTGAATAAGTAGGTATTTACCATACTTAGGTTTACCTGAAGTAAAGAGATGTTAAAAAGTAATTTGAAAAATCACTTTTCAGTGTGGTAAAGCCATTATAAACTGCATACATCGATCCAAATTTTTACTCTTTGAAAACTGGTAACTTACTGTAAATCAATAAAGGGCAAAAGCTGAATATAGTGAAAACTGTATTTTTATTGCCTTTTATTTTCAACAATAATTACTTGAACTTAAAAAAAACAATGCCTTTATTAACTAATGGTTACTGAAAAGCCAAACCTTCCCAGCCCACTTCATATTCTCTTTTAACCATTTCAGGGCAGAACAATGTTCCAAACTATAAACCTGTTCTTTATTAACATTGACGGTCATGTGTTTAATGAAAAGCTTTGGATCCGATAAACGAGCAGCCATTATTAATCTTTCCACTGCAGCTTGGTAATCATCCTTGCTCCGAGATTTGTTTTCTTCACATCTACAAAATGAACCTCACAAAGTCAGAAACTAAAAAGAAGCTATATAGTTCCTTCAAAAGATAATTATTTATACTCATTGGTATTATGAAAGTCTTTTTACTATTTTTTTCTAAAACTGGCTTTCAGACATTTGACCATAGCATATAGTAACAAGGACATATTATGATGCAGTACACACCCTCATACATAAAAACTGACAAGTTTCACAAACAAGACTTATCTTTATGACAATGTACTCTATTTTCTTGTCTCTTTCATTTTAAAACAATGGTTACAACCCCCTAAATTGTATTCATCATGCAAATGGACTACAACCTACACTTTGAAAAACACTGCTCTAGAAGAGCTAATAAATTTTTATCTTTGTATTTTCAAAGTTAATAATTGCATAATTATTCATTATCCATAAAAGAATACTGGATTTAAACACGGAGTCACCAACATTTACATATTTACCTTGACATTGGCCATTTTTAATTATAAGTATATACTTAGCATATAGTAACAGAAATTATAGCTTTATCTTTACTAAATTTCCATTATTTTCTTCACCAGTGAAGTACTTCACTAAGTGCTAGAATTTACTTTTCTAATACTTTTTCTACCAGTTCCAAATCTCATAAAATTCATACATTATGGCTGTATATATGAATTTATACATACATTTTCCTAAGGGATAAGGAGGGGGAAGCATTTACAATAGAAATGTGGTTGTTATATTAGGCAACACTTTTTCTTTGTGTTCACTGCAACTCTGCTCCTGGCACCTGTAGAGGCCAGCAGCAAGACCCAAGAATGAGCCTACCCACATTAAATGAACACCAGAGTATGGTCCACAGAATAGTGGTAATGGGAACTTTCATTTGGAATAGGAAAAAATGGTCACAGAGAGAAAAGACTGGTAGGCACCTTCTACTACATTCTGGCTTAGGAATTGGTGCCTGGCATCTGGTAGATGTGGCTTATGCCAACTATATGCAGTTTTTGAAAGTCTAAAGATGCACCAAATTCTCTCTCATGGAGGTTAATGTAATGAGGCAATGCTTAGTATGATAATAACAATAAAACTATATTGGCTTGGACAAAATAAAAAATCTAGTTATGCAATGGGGTCACAAATGATTCTCCCCAAATTTGACAATGAATAAAGAGGCTCCATATATGTGGGAAAAGCAAAACTATGAGAACACCAAACCCTCATTCAGATGATGGGGAGCCTAAATGACTCATGCCATGATAATGCACAATAATAAATAAGGAAGCTCTTAGAAAAGTACAGAGTTGTAACAAGAAGGGTTAATTTCAGTGGATTTTTGAAAAAGGTGGACCTAGGGAGATTCTAGATGGTGGTGTGAGAGGTGAGACAGAGAATTCCTCCCAAAACCACACATAGTTTGAAAATATAGTTAGTACAACTAGCCCTAAGATAGCAACAGGAAAGAAGACTGCACCAGCCTGCATATAGACTTCATCAACAGAGCAGACCTCACGAAACAGGGTAACGTACAAAAGCCTTGATCCGGCAGGACCCAAGCCCTTCTCCCACCCCAGCTCACTGGCAGGAGGAAGAGAAACAGAGCAGGGCAGGAGGTGGAAGCTTGTGACTGCTGAATACCCATCCCGGGAAGTCTGCTTTGGAGAACAAATCTACATTGTGTGGTGCTCTGGAGGTTGCTGGGGTTGGGGAGCAGGGACAGGCAAAGTGCTTGAGAGACTGAGACTCTGGCCATTTGTAGAGGACGGGGATCCACACCCAGCCACTCTGGGACAAGGGAAAGGCAGGCAGTCTGGGAGGCTTCCTAGCAGTGGAGAGGGCTGCTGAAGGGGCAGTTTTTGCATGGAGCTTGCTATGCAGCAGGAGGGATAGGTAGACAAGGTTGTCTGGGGGCACTCTGCCCCGCAGGTTGGAAACTTTGAGGAGCTTCACACACCCCATCCCCCTGGCTGCCTACAAGGAACCGAGGCCCCCCACTGTGACACGCAGCCTGCCAAACCTCCCTCCTGGCCTTCCGGCACCTACTCACAACCGGTCACTGTGCTGGCATCAGGCCAACCAGAGGGAGAGCCTGCCTACAACAGCTGGAGACACCGAGCACAGAGGCTTACATCTGTGTGCTCTGCCCACTGGAGACAGGCACCGCAGATGGGAATCAGGAAACAGATCTTTCCTGTGCCCAGGCACCAGCTCCGCTCCCCTATGACCCCCAACCTCACTCTACAGGCTGAGCAACAACAGAGACTGGAGCTTCTGGGCACCACACAGAATTACGAAACATCAAAGGAACCTGGTTCTGACCAAAATCTCACAAACCCCAGAAAAAGGGCCAAATGAAACTGAACTCACCAATCTTGATGAAAGAGAGTTTAAAATAAAAACCATAAACATGCTGATGGAGGTACAGAAAAATGTTCAAGAACTCAGGAATGAATGTAAGATGGAGATTCAATCATTAAGAAATTCCATATCTGAAATGAAACATACAATGGAGGGATTTAAAAGTAGATTAGATGTAGTAGAAGAGACGGTAAATGGGACAGAAATTAGAGAACAGGAATACAAAGAAACTGGGACACAGAGAGAAAAAAGGATCTCTAAGAATGAAAGAATATTGAGAGAACTGTGTGACCAATCCAAAAGGAACAATACCCACATTATAGGTATAACAAAAGAAGAAGACAGAGAAAAAGGGATAGAAAGTGTTATTGAGGAGGTAAGGAGATAGTCTCTCAGGCCATGGAGGTACACATATCTCTCAACACAAGGGACCCAAGGAAGACAACATCAAGACATATAATAATTAAAATTGCAAAGAATAAGGATAAAGACAGACTTTTAAAAGCAGCTAGAGAGAGAAAAACTATCACATACAAAGAAAACCTATCAGGCTATCATCAGATTTCTCAATGGAAACCTTACAGGCCAGAAGGGAGTAGCATGATGAATTTAATGCAATGAAGCAGAAGGGACTTGAACCAAGAATACTCTACCCAGCAAGGTTATCATTTAAAATTGAAGGAGGGATTAAACAATTTTCAGATAAGCAAAAGCTGAGAGAATTTACCTCCCACAAACCACCTCTATAGTGCATTTTGGAGGGACTCCTATAGATGGAAGTATTCCTAAGGCTAAATAGATGTCACCCAAGGGATAGACAAAGAGTACAGAATATGATTCATAACATACAAAAAATGGAGGAGGAAGAAAAAGGAGGAAAAAAAAAGAACCCTTAGGTTGTGTTTGTAAAAGCACATGAAGAGAGTTAAGTTAGACTGTTAGATACTAAGGAAATTACCTTTGAACCTTTGGTAACCACAAATGTAAAGCCTGCAATGGCAATAAGTACATACCTATTGATAATCACCCTAAATGTAAATGGTCTAAATGCACCAATCAGAAGACACAGAATCACTGAATGGAATACAAAACAAGACCCATCTATATGCTGCCTGCAAGAGACTCACTTCAAACCCAAAGACATGCACAGACTGAAAGTAATGGGATGGGAAAAAAATATTTCACGTAACTAATAGGGAGAAAAAAGCAGGAGTTGCAGTACTTGTATGAGACAAAAGAGACTTCAAAACAAAGAAAGTAATAAGAACAAAGAAGGTCATTACATAATGATAAAGGGATCAGTCCAATAAGAGGATATAACTATTATAAATAACTATGCAGCCAACACAGGATGACCTACATATGTGAAACAAATACTAACAGAATTAAAGGGGGAAATAGAATGGAATGCATTCATTTCAGGACACTTCAACACACCACTCACTCCAAAGGACAGATCAACCAGACAGAAAATAAGTAAAGAGGCAGAGGCAATGAACAATGTATTAGAACAGATGGAAATAACGGACATCTACAGAACACTCCATCCAAAAGCAACAGGATACACATTTTTCTGAAGTGTACATGGAACATTTTCAAGAATAGAACTTATACTAGGCCACAAAAAGAACATCAGTAAATTCAAAAAGATTGAAATAGTACCAACCACGTTCTCAGATCACAAAGGTATGAAACTAGAAAAAAATGAAACAAAGAAAATGAAAAAGCCCACAAACACATGGAGGCTTAATAACATGCTCCTAGATAATCAATGGATCAATGACCAAATAAAAACAGAGATCAAGCAATATATGGAGAACAATGAAAACAATAATTCAACAGTGCAAAAATCTATGGGACACAGCCAAGGCCGTGCTAAGAGGAAAGTATATTGTAATACAGGCCTACCTCAGGAAAGAAGAACAATCCCAAATGAACAGTCTAAACTCACAATTAATGAAACTAGAAAAAGAAGAACAAATGAGGGACAAAGTCAGTTGAAGAAGGGACATAATAAAGATTAGAGCAGAAATAAATAAAATCAGGAAGAATAAAACAATAGAAAGAATCAATGAAAGGAAGAGCTGGTTCTTTAAGAAAATAAACAAGATAGATAAACCCTAGCCAGACTTATCAAGAGAAAAAGAGTCTACACACATAAACAGAATCAGAGATGAGAGGGGGAAAATCACAACAGACACCACAGAAATACAAAGATTTATGAGAGAATACTATGAAAAATTATATGCTAACAAACTGGATAACCTAGAAGAAATTGAACTGGTAATCAAAAAACTACCTAACAACAAAATGCCTGGACTGGATGCTTCACTGCTGAGTTCTATCAAACATTTAGTGAAGACCTAATACCCATCCTCCTTAAAGTTTTCCAAAAAGTAGAAGAGGAGGGAATACTCTCAAACTCATTCTATGAGGCCAACATCAGTCTAATACCAAAACCAGGCAAAGACACCACAAAAAAAGAAAATTACAGACCAATATCCCTGATGAACATAGATGCAGAAATACTCAACAAAATATTAGCAACCGAATTAAAAAATACATCAAGAGGGTCAGACACCATGATCAAGTGGGATTCATCCCAGGGATGCAAGGATGGTACAACATTTGAAAATCCATCAACATCATCCACTGCATCAACAAAAAGAAGGACAAAAGTCACATGATTATCTCCATAGATCCTGAAAGAGCATGTGACAAAATTCAACATCCATTCATGATAAAACTCTCAACAAAATGGGTATAGAGAGCAAGTACCTCAACATAATAAAGGCCATATATGACAAACCCAGAGCCAACATTACACTTAATAGCGAGAAGCTGAAAGCTTTTCCTTTAAGATCAGGAACAAGAAAAGGATGCCCACTCTCCCAAGTTTTATTCAACATAGTAGTGGAGGTCTTAGCCATGGCAATCAGACAACACAAAGAAATAAAAGGCATCCAGATTGGTAAGGAAGAAGTCAAACTGTCCCTGTTTGCAGATAACATGATATTGTATATAAAAAACCCTGAAGAATCCACACTCCAAAACTACTAGATCTAATATCTGAATTAAGCCAAGTTGAGGGATACAAAATTAATACACAGAATCTGTTGCTTTCCTATACACTAATGATGAACTGGCAGAAAGAGAAATCAGGAAAACAATTCTGTTCACAACTGCATCAAAAAGGATAAAATACCTAGGAATAAACATAACCAACAAAGTGAAAAATCTATATTTTGAAAACTACAAAACAGTCATGAGAGAAATTAAAGAAGATACCAATAAATGGAAACACATTCCATGCTCATGGATAGGAAGAATTAATATTGTCAAAATGGCCATCCTGCCTAAAGCAATCTACAGAGTCAATGCAATTCCTATCAAAATACCAACAGCATTCTTCAAAGAACTGGAACAAATAGTTCTAAAATTCATATGGAACCACAAAAGACCCCAAATAGCCAAAGTAATCCTGAGAAGGAAGCATAAAGCCGGGGAGAATTATGCTACCTGACTTCAAGCTCTACTACAAAGCCACAGTAATCAAAACAATTTGGTACTGGCACAAGAACAGAGTCACAGACCAACGGAACAGAATAGAGAGTCCAGATATAAACCCAAGCATATATGGTCAATTAATATATAATAAAGTAGCCATGGATATACATTGGGTAATGACAGCCTCTTCAACAGAAGGTGCTGGCAAAACTGGACAGCTACATGTAAGAGAATGAAACTGGATCACTGTCTAACCCCATATACAAAAGTAAATTCAAAATGGATCAAAGACCTGAATGTAAGTCATGAAACCATAAAACTCTTCAAAAAAAAGCATAGGCAAAAATCTTTCGGACATAAACATGAGCAAGTTCCTCATGAACATATCTCCCCTGGTAAGAGAAACAAAAGCAAAAATGAATGAGTGGGAGTATATGAAGCTAAAAAGCTTCTGTACAGCAAAGGACACCACCAAGAGAACAAAAAGGCATCCTACAGTATGGGAGAATATATTCATAAATGACAGATCCGATAAAGGGTTGACATCCAAAATACATAAAGAGCTCATGCACCTCAACAAACAAAAAGCAAAAAATCCAATTAAAAAATGGGCAGAAGAGCTGAACAGACAGTTCTCCAGAGATGAAATTCAGATGGCCAACAGACACATGAAAAGATGCTCCACATCGCCAGTTATCAGAGAAATGCAAATTAAAGCCACAATGAGATATCACCTCACACCATTAAGGATTGCCACCATCCAAAAGACAAACAACAACAAATATTGGCGGCGAGGTTGTGAAGAAAGGGGAACCCTCTCACACTGCTGGTGGGAATGTAAACTAGTTCAACCACTGTGGAAAGCAGTATGGAGGTTTCTCGAAAAACTAAACATAGAAATACCATTTGACCCAGAAATTCCACTTTTAGGAATTTACCCTAAGAATGCAGTTTCCCAGTCTCAAAAAGACATATGCATCCCTATGTTGATTGCAGCACTATTTACAATAGCCAAGAAATGGAAGCAACCTAAGTGTCCATCAGTAGATTAAAGGATAAAGAAGATGTGGTACATATACACAATTGAATATTATTCAGCCATAAGAAGAAAACAAATCCTACCATTTGCAACAACATGGATGGTGCTGGAGGGTATTATGCTCTGTGAAATAAGCCAGGTGGAGAAAGAGAAGTATCAAATGATTTCCCTCATCTGTGGAGTATAAGAACAAAATAAAAACTGAAGGAACAGAACAGCAGCAGACTCACAGACCCTAAGAACAGTTACCAAAGAATAAAGGGATTGGGCAGGATGGGTGGGAAGAGAGGGATAAGGGGGAAAAAGGGGCATCACGATTAGCGTGTATAATGTAGGCAGGGGGGACACCAGGAAGGCAGTATAACACTGAGGAGACAAGTAGTGATTCTATAGCATCTTACTACGCTGATGGGCAGTGACTGCTGGCTGAGGGTTGTGTGGTGGGTACTTGATAATAGGGGGAGTCTAGAACCATAATGTCCATGTAATTGTACATTAATGGTGGCAAAAAAACAATGGTGGACCTAAAATAAATTATTGCCCAATTCTTCTCCCCTTAAGTATGGACTGGATTAAAGGACTCACTATATACAGAATTAAGCAGAAATGACAGTGCAACTTTGACACTAGGTTGCGAGATGACAATTCTGCATGGTTCTCTGTATTTCTGGAATTTTTGAGACTACCCCTTGTTCTGGATTTCAAGACTGTTTATATAGTGAACAACCTTGAAATACCGTTTCTCCTTCTGGAGCAAAGGGTAGGTCTGTTTAAAGCCTTACAAGATGTAGACAGTGTTTCCCTGCATAACAAAGGAGTAGGCACGCTTATTACCCATTATAAAAGATTTGAGTTCTTTAAGTTCAGGGTTCCTCTCCTGGAATTGAATCTACTACATGTGCAGGTATCCATGTGGGCTAACTGTGGGATTTGGTAGCAAGAAGAAGAGATACAATATACAGATAATCATGCTGCTTGCTGTATTATAAACAATAAAGTTCTCTGTCTACAATCCAGAAATCTTGTGTCTTATGCTACGATTCCTGAAACTATGGCAGGCTAACCTGTAGCCTGCAAATGGGGTACAATCTCAGAGCCTTCACAGTTCTTGATATAGGGCATAAAAGGCCCTGGAGCTTCCTCCTTGCTTCTCTCTGGATCACTCAGTCTGAGAGAAGTTAGCTGTCATGTCATGAAGACCTTCAAGGAACCTATGGAAAGGCCCTTGAGGTGAGGAACTGAGGCTTCCTGCCAACAGGCATGTGAATGAACCATCTAGGAAGTGGATCTGCCAGCCCCAGTCCAGCCATCAGGTCGATGACTATACCTCTGACTACATCCTGACTCCCGATAGCAGACACTGAGTCAGCACCATACTGTGACTCCACTCCAAAATTCCTGAACCACAGAAACTAAAATAACATTTGCTGTTTTAAGCCATTAAGTTTTGGGATAACTTGCAGACAGTAATAGATAACTGACAGAATATTCAGTCTGAGGATCTGGTTTGTAACACCACCACAAAATTCTTGTCAAGAATCTCTCAAACAGGAGTACCATAAGATCTTTATTTTGTAAGTTTCCTAGGTAAGGCTGACAAGAAATTGGAGTGGTATAAGCCAAATTAAAATTAAATTCTAGACCTTTGAACAAAATTATTCAAAGAGATGCCAAGAGCTCCATTATAATATTTATGAATTTGTAACAAAAATTTAAAATATAAGAACTAGGGTGGTGGCGGCTTTATTTTCAACAGACTTCTTGACTAATAAAACTTTCTTATCATGTATTTCCCTTTTTGACCTGGTTCTTAGATCTTCTGTGTTGCCCAGAAAGATAAATAACTTTGTTACCTACCAGAAATCTATCAATTCATGATAAAAAGCGATAGCTAAAGAAAACCTATCCCTTTCAACATCTTAACAGCATCTCTTAAGTTGTTAAAGTGTTTATTAAATGCTACTAGCTTGTTTGGTTTTACATCCTAAACAAGTCAAATCCTTTCTCAATTTTAGTGTTAGCAAAGTTTGCAAATACCCATACACAAGTATATAAATATAGGGCTAATTATATGAATATATAATTAATATGTGAAAAATTATACATTTATATAAGTGAATAAAAATTATTTGTATCCCAGAGCAGGTGTGGAGAATCATGATTGCTTTTAGGATGCAGTTAGAAGTTTTATCAACCAACCTTTTCAAAACTATCTGCAGCATCTGTGTAGAAGTTCCAGGACTCTGAATACTACTAGCATTAGATACGAGGAAGATTTCAATAGCTAAAAGCATTTCAATCTCAGATAAATAAGATGGCATCAACAGAAGTTTTCGGTATAAATTTCCCTTCAGTGGTGGGTAGAAACCCAATGAAAGAGCACCTGAAAATTAAATAATAAACCAAAGTTTACTAAAATCCTAATAAGTCAAAACCTAGACTTCCAAAATAACTATAGGTAATAATTACTTACATTACATAATAATTCTTCACATCAGGAACAGATTCATTAAACAAATTATGTGGCAGTGAGTTTATTTTAGTACATTTGAAATTATTCTTTGTAAAATGCCTTTGAAACATTAAATAAGAAGTATGAAATATATTAAAAAATCTCTCTGTAAAATGACTTTTGAGCCTCATTGTGGCAACTACCCATTTATTTCAAGCCCTGTTCAACAAAACATAATTTCAGAATAACTATAAAAACTGGAATAGCTACTTGGGTTTTGTTTTAAGGGATTTGGTTTGATAAGAACTACATGTATTTATAATTATTGTCTATCTTGAATTATGAACCCTAAATGTAGAAAGAAATGTGCAACTGTAATAGAAATTAGAAACTGTAATTTGAAAACTTTACTTTCTGTCAAATAGTTACTATAGTATTTTTGGGTGCACTTATTTAAGTGCTGTTATAGTTTGTGCAATAAATATTTACTGCTCCTACTATATATCCAGCATTGAGGTAAGCATTAGATATAAAAATGAAAAAAATACACTTCCATTCTGTAGTTGCTCAGTGTGTTGAAGCTATACTCACCAATTAATGTTCTAAAAATTTTATTTTTCAAAAGAAGAGATTTAACTTTTAAACTGCTTAGGTCCTTATCATAAGTGATGCACAGAGAAACTCCCTTAAGTCCTAGGACATCCCAGTTGTATATAGCAGCAACATTATATTGTTATATTTTACTGAAATCAATTTAAGTCTGCATGTAAAATTTGCTTAAAACATTTTTTCAGGATAAGTTTCTTCAAGAAATCTTTCTAATGTGGATAAAGATGGCTAACTTTGAGGACCTCTTATGTGCCAGGTACCTGTGCTAAGCACATAGGTTTTATCTAATTTTAACTTGACAATTTACTACCTTTGTAATTAGGTACAAGTACTCCCCTATTATAGATGAGGGGCTTTGGGTAAGCACTCTGGTCTTCTGATTCCAGAGTTTGGGTTACTAACCACTAGGTAGTCTCACCTCCTTAGGTCACTTCCAGGACTAACAAACTATGGACACATTAACTTTCCTAGCTATTGATAAGTAAAATTTACATGCATTCCTGTTTTCCTTTTCTGACCAGAAGAGGAAAACAAAAAATAACAAACTGAGTAGAAATTTACTAACATTACTTTTTTCCTCTAAAATCAAACATGAAAAGACAAACACTTCATTTGGTTTTAGGGGGGGAAAGTCGTGGAAAGACACACTGAGATCATTTCCCCTTCCTGACTTTTCAGCTTTGAGAGAAAGGCAGTATTCTTAGGCCTGGGGAGAGCAGGAGTTTCAGGAAGACAACTTCATTGTCCCTGAAAACTTTCCTTCTGATTAGTTTCAGAACAAAAGTAGAGCAAAGCCATCAAGAAAGTAAAAGGCAACTCATAGAGTGGAAAGAAGTATTTGAAATTCATATATCTGACAGGGGACTTTGGTATCCAGAGAGTTATGTATATGTCTATCAGGTATATATGTATGTGTGTGTGTATACACACACACACACACTCTTATAACTCAACAATTAAAGAAGAAACCCAACTAAAGAATGTGCAAAGAAAAAAATGGGTAACAGACATTTCTCTAAAGATGATATACAAATGGTCAATAAGCACACGAAAAGGTGCCCAACATCATTAGTCATTAGGAGCATGCAAATCAAAGCCACAATGAGATCCCACTGTACATCCACCAGGAAGGCTAAAGTAAAAAATACAGTAAGAAGTGTTGGTAAGGGTGTGAAGAAATTAGAATTCCCACACATGGCTGGTGGGAACATAAACATAAAGTGGTAGAGCTTCTTTGGAAAATAAATTTTCCTCAAAAATATTTGAGCAGTTCCTCAAAATGCTAAACATAGATTTATCATATGAATGAACAATTCTGCTCCCAAGAGAAATGAAAATACATGTCCTTACAAAAATTTGTACATGGATGTTTTCAGCAGTGTTACTCATGATAACTAAGAAGTAAAAACAACTCAAATATCTATAAACTGATGGATTAAAAAAATCCATATAATGGAACATTATGCAGCAAAAAAATGAATTGATACATGCTACAACATGGATGAACTTTGAAAACACGCTAAGAAGATATCACAAAAACTACACATTGAATGATTCTCTTTACATGAAATGCCCAGAATTGGCACATCCATAGACACAGGAGATGCGTTGTTGCCTGGGGCTGAATCAGGAAATGAGGAAAGGAATGTGTTCAGGGTATCTTTCTCTGGAAGTGCTAAAGCTTTTCTAAAATTTGATTGTGATAATTGCTGTGCAACTCTGTGAATATAATAAAAACGAATGCAATGCATACTTTGAGTTAATTTTTTTGGTATGTGAAATTATCTCAATATTTTTAAAAAAGCAAAACAAAGACACTAGCACCACAGTCTTAACAGAGCCTTGATGAAAAAAACAGCAGCAAGCCCAGAATCAATACTACTAGATGTGATTGTGAAGCATTAAAAGGCTTTTCTAGCAACTATTAAGCTGTGTGTGACGATGAGCTTAAAGAGTGTTCCAATATATTTTAAATGTCAACACTGTCAGGAAATGAGATGTTCTGACGACTGATCAGTGGCTATAAGTTATTTCATTTTATAATTCAGGTACATTTAAAAAATCCCCAATATACTCTTTACCCTATAACCTCATTGCATAAATCCCAGAAGTTTCACTGCATATGAAACTAGACATAGATGCTTTAAAAAAGAGGGAAAGTGCTAAAAAGAAAGGAACTATATTGTACCTAGGCACTCACTGCTAAAAACAAAAAATCTTTAAAAATAAAATATTATTAGGGTTGGAAGGACTTAGGGGAATGGGGAGTGAATGCTAATGAGTATATGGTTTCTTCTTGGCTTGACAGAAATGTTCTAAACTGTGGTGATGATTCACAACTCTAAATATACTAAAACCACTGAATTGTACATGTTAAGTGGGTGAACTGCATTGTATCTAAAATTTTATAAATAAAGCTGTCAATAAAATTTTTAAAAATCAATAATTAAGTTTAGAAGCTTTAATACAAAATTTTATTTCCAACTAAAAAAGAGATTCATAGAAATCTAATTTAAATGTTTCCAAATTTATACTTTGTTCCTATAGCATACAGACACCTTCTGATGGCATTTTCTCCAAATTGCACAATTACCTGAAAAATAAATAACCCTATTAACATAGATTGTACCAACTAAAATCAAGAAGTTATGTAGCAAATAGTACATATGTACTTTTTGTGTGTGATTTCTACCACTCTGCAGGGAAATCGTATAAAGGAGTTGAAACAACCACAAATTGAAATGAGGTGTTATAAACAAACAATTCTACCTTTCCTCTAAATTTCTAATCCTTTAAAAGAAATTCTGCTTTCAAAACTTTTGATTATAACCTATACTATGAATACATTTTACAGAATGGTCCAGTACACACACACATATATATGTATATAACTGAGGTAAAAATTTTATCAAATAATACTTAACCTCTAATGCATACTACCTCTAATGCATATTACCTCTAATGCATACTAATGTTTTCTTCTCCATTTCATTGGGAAAAAAAGGTTACCATCTGATAAATTGATCACAGCTGATAGTGTGAAAAACACTTCCAAGTTCAGAGAGGTTTCTGTACTGGCAGGATTGGCTGGGATGTTTAACTCATCTGGCACAGTGGTAACACACAGTAGGCACTTAAATGTTTGTTATGTATATGACGGTGGTAGAAATGGAAATCTAAGACAAGTAACTGTAGGAAAGCAGAAAAGAACTGTTTTCTAGACCTAGAGTCTATACAGAATTACTTTTTAATTAATTGAGATGACTAGTACTAGACAAATCACTGGTTTTCCAGGCTTACTGGTTAGAGAGAAACAGCTGTAAATAGATTAATGAAGTTCTAATTACTAGAATCCATGTGAAAAGCTGTTATATATCTTGTTCACTGTAATGGCAGCCTCTGTAATTCCTACATGGCTTGCTGTAAAATATTTGAAGTTATAAAGACTGGGAATATGGCAGGGATAAATAACATGTAAATATTCCTTAAACTTCATTGTGCCCAGTTGTTTTACTTCCATGTAAGATATGCCAAAGTTGTTCAAATTCTGTCATTTATTTCCTTTGTGCACTATCCAGTGGACATGCTAATGGGCAAAGAAATAAAGATATGGTAATTAGCAACAAGATAAATAACAGGTTCCAAAAGAGAGCACAAATCTGTTTGGATCACTATCTTTGAATGTACATCAGCTGCTTTTTACATATTTAAGAGCCTGTTGTAAATATTATACAAGGATTCAGGGTTAGAAAATCAAGGTCAAAACCAATATATCAAAAATAAATTTAAAAATTTTAACTTACTTTTGTAGTGGGCTCTGGCTTTGATCCATAAACAACTTCTTCCTAAAGAAGTAATTAATCTTCTAAGAAAGGAAAAATCAATAGGGATGCTCTTTGAAATCATGAATTCTGCTACAGAAGATGACATACCAAGATTGTTGCTTTCTATACAGGCATCTAGAAGTTTATTAAAAAGAAGGCTATACTGTGAGACCTCCACAGCTTCTGAAAAGAAAAAATAATTGATATAATGAAATTGATGTATCTTAGTTTCTCAAATTTCTATCTTTTACACTTTCCTTATCCCTCTGCTCTCCTTGGCACTTTCCTACCTACTCCATGAGTCAACCATCATTAAAATGCAATTGTCTTACATACTTTCTAAGTGACAAATAAAAGAGCATTCAACAAAAGCAAAAATGTTCATTTACTTTACAATGAAGAATATGAAAGGAAGCTTGACAAGGATTTCAGTGGCTGCAAGACACCACACCTGCCTGTGATCCTCACATGTGACTGTGCTTGCAGAGTCCCAAATGGATGACTGCACAATTCTGTTTGCCTTCTATCTAAAGGGCAGACCTCAGACTAAAAGTAATTGATCCCCTCATAAATATTCATCCTCAAAAAAATTATTTATTGGGTATTTTTATTCCTTTCTCTTCTTAACCTAGAAGAAAGTGAAGTCACCTTAGAGACTCCCAAGTCTTTTATGCCCTATGTTCAGTCAGTTTGATCTATGACTTAGACTCCAGGTCTTTATCACTTTAGGAACTTTTAGTGGTCTAGGCCCTATCAGGAAATTAATATCCTTACCTTTAGTCTCTTCCTAAACATTACAACCAGGGGAACTTAACTACAACACCAACTTTGGCTGATAAAGCACTGAGGGGAGGCCCTCAAGTTACCATTTTCACCAAATGTCAACCCATTTCTCTGTGCCCATCCCTCAGCTCACTTCTGACCCAAAGCTTTTGCTCATGTTTCTCTTAAACATGAACTCCCTCTTCTTTTCCATATGACTTGAGCTTAAGCATTCAAGAGCCTCCTCTACCATTGCTCACACTCGTATTCTCTCTGAACTTGCCATCTGCTTAATATCCTCCATTTATTCCATGTCTACCTATGTTTCAACTTAATGAAAACTAAGTTCTCTATTTGTTAATTGACAAAAGTAGAAGTATTCTTCATTATTCCAATCAACGAATTCTTTTAAGATATGAAACTTGCTGGAGGCACTTATTATATTGTTTGCTGATGGGTTGACAGAAGTAGTGAAAGGGGAATGATGAAAATGCTTCTGATAGGAACTGCTGACAAACAACCCAAAGATAAGTATTTCTGATTTTTTAAAAACTATTAGGAAAGCATATTCAATTTGCAGAGAACACATTTTACAGAAAACAACCTGATAAAAATATATGCTGGAATATAAAACAAACAAAACAAGTAGAGAACTGTTTCTTGTTAACAGTTAAACATCAGATGGGCAAGAGATAATTAAGCTAGACTTTAAAAAACATACCTTGAGAATTTTGAAAACCTGGTAGATTTTGCAAAACTTCAAATGTCTGTCTGTAAAGGCTCTTGGCTAAGAATTCGTGTGCAATTGTACAGAGCAGATTATGTCGATTGAGTACATCCAGTCTGTCACAAGGCCACAGTGGTGTATTGATTATCCATTCTGACTCTTCCAAAAAGAAAAAAAGTACTAATATTTTATACTTTGAAAATTACACTTAACAGTGTAATTACAACTAATGTTTTAAAATATCTTTTGGAAAGTGGCAAAATCTAAATATGTGTACTCAGGAAAAATAACCATGTCTCAAATTTATTAGAAAACTTATATAGTGGTGATCATCATCCTAAGAAGACACAAGTTAATGAACACTTTGCTTTATTTACTTTTTCAATTAATTCTTCATTTTTCTAACTGTATGACTTTAGTTGATTCTGAAATCAACATTTATTTTTATATGACAAAAATATTCAGATTATATCCAACAACAAGGAATACATATTTAATTTTGGTATTCTTGGGCAACAGCTTTCTCCCTGATTCCTACCTAGTTGAAAAACAATTTTTATTATAAAATATTTGATATGTACAGAATAATATCTAACATACACATTATAAAAGCATAACAATAAAATAAACTTATATACCTATCACACAGCTTTAAAAAAAGAGAATGTTACCGATAGTGCTGAATTTTTTTGCCCTGATTTTCACATTGAAAAAAAATAGGAGACTGTAGTACAGAACACTGAGATGCTAAAATGTTAAAAATGTCAATAGTTTATTATTTACCGAATTCCCTCAATCATCATACATGAGACTCATAAACAAAACATTGCTATGTACCACTCAAATCACATTTCTGTGTTCTTTTTCAACTGGACCAACTGTAGGAGTCATATAATCTTTCTCTTTTGTGGTCTTCCCAGCACAATGAATACAAACACTATTTAAAAAATTTGATAATTCAAGCACATAATGTCAAAATAAACCCCCAAGTATCCAATATAAAACAGGAACTTGTTTTTAAATTACTTGAGCCCACCTGACTGACTATGTGCTAGGCAATGTTTTGCAAATATTAGTGCTTTGTGAATATCAACTCATTTAAACACTTTCATTAATTTACTCCTAAATATGGGAAAATTTTACCATATAGAGACATTTAAATGAATATCTTCAAAGACTGCATAAATCCTGTTAAATGTAATTCCCAACAAAGTAAATTTGCTAAATCATCATTCTTTATAAAATAAATTTTACTTTCATCAAGTAAACTGTTTTCTGTTAACCATAAGGCTGTAGATACATCAGTCACACTCATAAAAAGTAGACCATGTAGCCTTTTCTCAAAAATTCCTTTGTTTTTTTAAATTTAGTATTCATTCTTTATCCTTAAGGTAGAACAGTGGTCCCATTTTTTGAAAGAATATATGATATTTTTGGGGATTCATTTTGAAATCTTACCAAATTGGGTAGCTGTATTAAAAGATCTGAACAAATTAGTTATTTTATGTATCAAACTGAAACTAATAATTGGGGAATCATTTGGAAATTAACAGGCTTTTAACTAATCCACCAGTATATGACTCTATCAACATAAATACTTCTATCAAAATTTTATAAGACCTCTTATGAGAATTAAATTCTCAAGAATAAAGACCAGTTTACTTCTGTACTTAGTACTAGTTTTCTGGCAATAAAAGTTTTTACACGTTAATCCTGTTTTTCTCTGTTCCACAGTTGGAGAATATCTTCCTTTTGTCTGATAATCAGAGTTAAAAGGCAAGTGGATATTCTGTAAAAGCCATTCTTTATTTGCTTATCTCTAACATATGCATATTCAATCATTACTCATGCAAGATTTTGAATGGAGGCACTGAGAATATAAACACTATTAAGACAGTTTGCAGGGAATGAATGTCCAGGGAATGAATAATGAGACCATTAGATAACTATCCTTTACCATGGTAAGTACTGATATGGGGGAATATCTAAAGATATCTTTTTCCCCTTAATGTATACATTTTATAAAATCCTCATCAAATTTCTTACAGAACTGTATTAAAACCTGCCTTGATAATTCTGAAATCCATCCAAACACTTGAGAATAGCAAAAAATAGTTTTAGAAGAGTGAGAGGGTACTCTTGCCTAAATAGAAAGATATTATTACATATTCTAAAGCTACCTTAACTAAAACAAGTATGGTGCTAGCAGAAAGAGATCACTGGGAGAGAAGAACCATGTAGCCTTTTCTCAAAAATTCCTTTGTTTTTTTAAATTTAGTATTCATTCTTTATCCTTAAGGTAGAACAGTGGTCCCATTTTTTGAAAGAATATATGATATTTTTGGGGATTCATTTTGAAATCTTACCAAATTGGGTAGCTGTATTAAAAGATCTGAACAAATTAGTTATTTTATGTATCAAACTGAAACTAATAATTAGGGAATCATTTGGAAATTAACAGGCTTTTAACTAATCCACCAGTATATGACTCTATCAACATAAATACTTCTATCAAAATTTTATAAGACCTCTTATGAGAATTAAATTCTCAAGAATAAAGACCAGTTTACTTCTGTACTTAGTACTAGTTTTCTGGCAATAAAAGTTTTTACACGTTAATCCTGTTTTTCTCTGTTCCACAGTTGGAGAATATCTTCCTTTTGTCTGATAATCAGAGTTAAAAGGCAAGTGGATATTCTGTAAAAGCCATTCTTTATTTGCTTATCTCTAACATATGCATATTCAATCATTACTCATGCAAGATTTTGAATGGAGGCACTGAGAATATAAACACTATTAAGACAGTTTGCAGGGAATGAATGTCCAGGGAATGAATAATGAGACCATTAGATAACTATCCTTTACCATGGTAAGTACTGATATGGGGGAATATCTAAAGATATCTTTTTCCCCTTAATGTATACATTTTATAAAATCCTCATCAAATTTCTTACAGAACTGTATTAAAACCTGCCTTGATAATTCTGAAATCCATCCAAACACTTGAGAATAGCAAAAAATAGTTTTAGAAGAGTGAGAGGGTACTCTTGCCTAAATAGAAAGATATTATTACATATTCTAAAGCTACCTTAACTAAAACAAGTATGGTGCTAGCAGAAAGAGATCACTGGGAGAGAAGTACAGAAACAGACCCAAGCAGATACAACATTTCAATATACCATAAAAGTGGCATCTCAAATAAGCAAGTGGAGGGAGACTTGGGATAACATTTTGAGGAAATGACAAAAAATTATGTTCTCACCTTGTATCAAAATTGAAAACTGATCATGGATCAAAAAATTTGAAGAACATATGGATGAATATGTAATTTTGAGATAGCTAGGGACCAAAGCATGATACAAAACAAAAATTATTAAATATTTCAAAAGCAGTTTATGTTAAGTAGAAAAAAATGTCAGTTTGACAAAAGAAGAAAACAAACAAAAATACAAAAATAAATAAATAAAATGAAGGGAAAATGTAAAGCTGAGAATGAATGTCCAGGGAATGTAAATATCCAACAGATCAAGGATTAACAGTTTTAATATGAAAAATTACTATACTATAAAAGGGCATAACTTACAGTGTGTTATTTCCTAAGTGTGATATATATATATATATATACACACATATACAGATCATTGATGGTACATTAATAATGGATTTTAAATGTTACATTATAATTTTAATAATTTGTATATTATAAAAATTATGAAAATATAAAGATCACATTAAATTTAAAATAATTAAACCTGTGATTTCAGAGATTATTGCTTAAGATAAGGCCAAGCTGGTTGATTTACTTTAAAAATGATGCTAATTTTTAAAATGTAATTTTCATTATAAAAATTTAGCAAAACAGAAAAGTACAAAGAAGAAATTAACAAAAATCTAATACTGCATCTCTGAAAATGACCAGTGCTCACATTTGGTGAAAATTATTTAGGGAAGAGGTGTGAATGACCTAAGCAGTGGCTAAATAAGCAGATTTAAGGGAAACTATGTTATTAAAACAGGCTGAAGATGGCCTGGTCTGACAACAGCGTGCTGAGGAGAGCCATCCACTGACTGAAAATGGACACAGTACAATTTTTCTTAATTATTAAAATGATTTATATGCCTATATAAGTATTTGTCCAACTGACATATAAGTACTGTAGTGTATAAGTACATATAAGTATTTGTCCAAGTTTATTTGTCCAACTGACATATAAGTACTGTAGTGACAGTTACTGGTCCAGGTGTTAGAGCTAACCTTTTCCTCGTATAAAAAAAAGAAAGAAAACCAAAGCATACACACACACATGCTTTCAAATACTCCAGTCTGTAACAATATGGATGAACTTTGATAGCATTATGCTAAGTGAAATAAGTTAACAGAGAAAGACAAATACTGTATTATCTTATTTACATATGGAATCTAACAAAACCAAACTCATGAAAAAAGAGATCAGATTTGTTGTTGCCAAGGGTGGGGGGCATTTTGGGGGCTGAGAGAATCAGATGAAGGTGGTCAAAAGGTATACACTTCCAGTTAGAAGATAGTTAAGTACTGGGGAGGTAATGACTATAATTAACATTGCTGTGTAATATATTTGAAAGATGTTAAGAGAGTAGAACCTATGAGTTCTCATCACATGGGAAAAAAATGATTTTGTATCTTTATGAGATGGTGAATGTCAACTAAACTTGTAATACTTTCACAATAGAGTTGACCCTTGAACAATGAGTTTGAACTACACAGGCCCACTTATATGTGGATTTTTTTCAATAAATTTATATTGGAAAAACCTTTGGAGATTCACAACAATTAGAAAAAACACTTTCATTTCTCTAGCTTACTTTATTGTACCTGTGATCCCTAAAAGGACAATATCTGCATAAAAGATAAACCTATGTAATAGTTCTCTAGGATTTTCTCACAAAGGGAGGCTTTCTAATAAGCTGAAAACAACTTGCCACAAATCTAAATGGGAATATGGAAAATTTGCCAACATTTACCAAAAAGCTTTAAACTGCTCTTACCCTTGAACACAGCAATTCCATTAGAATTTATACTAAAGACATAACAGAGATTCAGCAGGAATGTTTAAGAAGGGATTATTATTTATCATAGACATTTGAAAACAAGAACATTTCAAGAAAAGTGGATCAAGGATGTATTTGTATATCTATATATCTGTATATCTACATCTAGATTTATATCTATTTATTCATAAAGTGGAAAATCATGTAGCTTATTAAGTGATGTTGTAGAAGAATATCCCTTTTCAAGGAAAGATGCCCACAGAAAGAGTGCTCCCTGAAAAAACTGCCAGGCACTAAAGTGGTAACTAATTTCTGGGTTACTGAATAAGGAATTTTTATCATCAGTTTTGCTTATTCACCTGTTTTTATTTCTCTGTAATGAATATGTATTACTTACATTAAGGAAATAATAGTTGCTTTAAAGCTCAAGAGCAGTTTCTCATTAATGGCATAACTTTTTACAAAATTTGTATTCTAGGTAGTTGAGACAATTTTTTCAGCCTCCAAATCATGATTATAAAATTTTGGTTTAAAGACTTTTAAAATTTTCTGCTAAGGGGAGAAGGCAGGGTAAGAATTTGTTGCTCATTTACGAGGATACAAGCTACTATTGCTGGGAAAGAGTTTTAAATGTCAGAGCGAAAACCCAAAAGCAATAGATTTCCTCTCACCATAAAGTCTGCCACCCACAAACCAAAAAGTGTACAATATTCTGCATTTTTCAAACATGAGTAATAATATGTAACCCTTTAAAAAGTTTAGTAGGTAATAAATGCACATTTTAAGGGAAAAAATACAGGGAAACATAAAAAGTTAATCTGCCTCTCATCTCTGTCTTCTGAGCACTCAAATTCCTCTTCTAAGAAGCAACCACTATTATCAGCTTCTTGCGTATCCTTCTAAAAATATTTTAAGGGTATGTGAGCAAGTATATTGTATTTGTTTTATTATTTTTTGAACAAATCGTTGCATACTGAATATACTGCTTTACACATTCCTTTCTTTCTTCACTTGTCAACAGATCCTGGAGATCATTCCAAATGAATATCTGTAGATCTGCTTCATTCGGCTCCATCATATGGCTATAACAGTTTAATTAACTGGTTAAAGGACATTTAAGTTATCTGGAATCCTTTGTTATCATTATTGATAGTAAAAAAGATTCCAGGTAACTTATAGTACATACACCTGTAGGAGAAATTCCTAGAAATGGAGTTAGCAGATTCAAGGACAATGCATTCTTAAATTTTAACAGATATTTTGCCAAAAAGCCCCTAAAGACAGCACATGTGAATGGCCATCTCTTTACACCCTCACGAAAAGCATATCACCAAATTTTGGTATTTCCTAGTCTCCCAGCTGTTTTCTAATTTTAATGTGTATTTCTCTTATATGACTCAACTCTCAATCATTATAAGTGAGATTGAACCATTTGTATTTCCTTTCTTGAGAATGTCTTATTCACTGCAGAACCCTTTTAGGAACAACAAAATTCTGGGGAGAACTTAGCATACTTTTGTGGGCTCTTCTTTTCAAGAAATAAAATTTTACTTATGAAAATAAGTTTCAATTGAAATGGTCATTGCAAAAGAGAATCCTGCATTTATAACCTATAGAATTTTTAAAGACAATTTCAAAGTTGAAACATCAAAGTTGTAAAAATTTTAAATCTCCAGACCACTCCATGTTTCTCCCACAAACTCTCCCCCAGTCTCTAGTTTGAGAAAGACTATGCTAGAAACTTTTAAGGCAGAAGTTTTCTATCACAAGATGTCCCAAGCCCATTTTTATGAACTATCTTAACCTTTCCATTTCTTTTCATACCTGTTCTTTCTAACAAAGCTTGTGACCTCTGGCTTGCATTTTGCTAATTTCTATTTCTGTATCTTGGTTACTTTTCCCCACTTAGTAAACCTCACTGGCTGTTTGTTAAGTTGAAGAAAACCTTTTACAACAAATTTTTGATCAGGAAGTCCACTCACAACCTCTGTATTCCATAAAGTCTCGGCACTGAACAAATACAAGGTATTATATGTATATATACACACATACATGAGTATGTATGTGTGCTAGTGCAGTACATGTGTTTGTTAGTGTAAAGGTTACCTCTCTACCTTATGCATGCAGATATTCCACCTTCCCACCTAAACTCTGAGATTCTCAAGGTTTCTTAATTCATCTCCCATTTTATCAAATAAAATCTGCCTGATGGTCAGAGTAGTCAGAGCTACATTAGATACAATGCTGTGCTATTACTGTGCTCTTTAAATGTTTATTCACTTCATAGCAGACTAACCTTACTTGCCTCTGCTGGCTTAACTTCATGGTTATTTCTGCAGATGGACTGACTTACTAGGGAAAGGAAGCTTTACTTGGGTTGGCTTAAAGTCATGTTTGCCGGTACAAACAAAGAGAAAGTTTATGCAGATTGCAACTAGGATTTCCCTGTCTTAGAAGCTGAAGCCTGGGCTGTGAAGCTGGACAGCCTGCATTTGAATCCAGCCTCCACTCCTTATTTGTAACGTCTTTTTAGGCAAATTCCTTAGTGCCCCCAACAACGTTTTTTTTTAATCCACACAAAAGAAAAGGTTGTAGTAATTCTAGACTCATAGGGTTTCTATGAAGACTAATTGAGATAATACAGGTAAAGCATTTAGTATGGTGCCAAGCCCAAAGGAAGAACTACCTTTTCAACAAAGGTTCATACAATTTCTTCTTAAAGTTAGGTTAGTGCTCTCCTTTCATTTTACACAACCCCACATGATTGCTAGGATTTAAACCAAATTACCAATCACAATCAATATAAACAAGGTAATTACATAGACAAGAATTTATAACAACAAATTATTTTATGCTTGCATATATCAGAACTTACCCCTTAGTACCCAAATGGCACCATCTAGGCTTCCACTTTTTAGAAAAATTTCTGCTGCAATATTCACAATTTGACACCTTGGTGCTAACTTCTCGGGTCCTGTAAGTCCCTTTAAACTTGTAAAATGTATTTTTAATTCATAGAGTTTATCTAAGACCTTTCTTCCCTAGAGTAAAAATAAAGGATGCAATTGACTATCAATCATACAGAGTATTACAAAGATAGAAAAGTCACTGATACATACAAGCCAACTATCAATAGGAATCATCATTCTAGACTGAGAGTTCTCAAACTACTCCAAGACTCCTTCCTTAAGCCCTTCCTGCTCACCACCAAGATGGAAGGGGAAGGGGAACAAGCAGGGCTTTGTGGCACATTAGCCAACCCGGCTGCCAGCCTCCTCCAGCAGTATATAAAACTCCCTTCATGTGTTTCATATATCTGGCTTCTGCTAAAGATTTCACCTGGCAAAAGGATTTCACACCTCAATGTGGACAACTACTGATAATAAGTTTTCACACTTCTGTTGATTACCAAAATCCAGAAGTGAGAAACAGTGAAAATGATAATTCATTATCAAATTTAGATAAAGAATGATAGTGGGGAAACAAAGGATAAAATTGTTGCCTAAAAATTGTTTCTTTGATTCAAGAGACTATTTCATATAGTCCCTAGATAAGATTATCTCTAGTCTGGACATCAGAAATTGGATGTATATTATTTTATATCAGGGGTCAACAAACTTCTATAAATGTCCAGATAGTAAAACACTTAGGCTTTGCAGGTCACCTTTGGTCAGCTGTACATTTTTCAGTTGTTGTTGTATTAAATTTCTAATTCTTTAAAAATGTAAAAAATATTCTCAGGTCTCAAGACCAAAACAGGTGTGGGCCAGATTTGGCCCTTAGTTTATGGACCCTTGTTTTATATTATGTTCTATGCTATTTTGAGTCAGATGCATTATTACCACATCAAGGTACTTTCAATCTGACTATATAATGAGTGCATTTTTCAAGAGATAGCTTTAATTTATTTCAATGGTTTTACTTTTGTATTCAAATAAGAATAAGTATCATTAAAAAATTCCTACTGTATAAGATAATAAATAAAATATTTGTTCTAAATAAGATACTGACAAATTTTAATTAAAATATAGGTAAGCCTCCTCAGTTAAATTATTTCTAGGTAAAAATGGAAATAACATTATGACCCAGTAATTCCACTTCTGGGTATTTACCTGAAGAAAACAAAATCACTCATTCAAAAAGATATATCTACTCCTATTGTAGGTGTGCTATCTGCAATAGCCAAAATATGGAAGCAACCTAAATATTCATTGATAGATGAATGGATAAAATAGATGTGGTATATATATATATATACAATGGACTATTACTGCCATAAAAAGAATGAAATCTGGCCATTCGTGATAAAATGGATGGACCTAGAGGGCAAGTGAAATAAATGAGAGAAAGACAAATGATTTCACTTCTAAGTAGAATCTAAAAAAAAAAGAACAAAACAGAAACAGACTCATAAATAATAGAGAACAAACTGGTGGTTGCCACAGGGGTGGGGATGGGGTGGTGGTGAAATAGGTGAAGAGGATAATTTATAAGGTAAGTTTGTCATGGGGATGCAAATGCTGCACAGGGAATATAGTCAGTAATATTGTAATCTCTCTGCATGGTGACCACTTCCTAAGTGTTTTCTACACTGAGATTCTACACAGAGCCAGTCTCATGCCACCTCCTTTCCACATTTGCCTAATACTCCATCTAATTATTCACTTAGTAGTCTAGAACTCCTTTTGTCACTTGTAATGATTATTAGCAAATTCCTAATTTGCACAGTTAACTGATATACCATTCAAAATGTAAAATTAACACTATACCAAGCTGAAACAAACATTTAATAAAGTACCTTGGACCACTGCAACAGCTTGTGATAGAAGTACATAACACTGATTCCGATTCTTCCCAGAAAAGCTTTATCTACTTCACTGTTTTGTGGACCTTTGGTAACTGAAACACAAAGTAGGCATATAAGAAAAAAAGTGAGAACAGTCACTTAAAATGACGGCAAAGGTAAATTAATGGGGAATTATTGATAATACCACAAAGACCAATGTCAGCAAACTGCAGCCTGTGGGTGAAATATGGCTTGTGGCCTGTTTTTGTATACCTGTGAGCTAAGAATGATTTTTCTATTTTTAAAGGGTTGTTTGAAAAGAGAAGAAAGAAAAAGAAAAAGAGCAAAGCAAAGCAAAGTAAAACTGTGACACAGATCATATGTGGTATGAGCAAAGCCTAAAAGATTTACTGTTTGGTCCTTCACAGAAAATGTTTGCTGACTCCTGACAAAGAATATAGCAGTGAAGAGCTCATGTCAAAAATAAGTCTCAAGAATATATGAATTTGGGATCATACACCATGACCAAGTGGGATTCATCCCAGGGAAGCAAGGATGGTACAACATTCGAAAATCCATCAACATCATCCACCACATCAACAAAAAGAAGGACAAAAACCACATGATCATCTCCATAGATGCAGAAAAAGCATTTGACAAAATTCAACATCCATTTATGATAAAAACTCTCAACAAAATGGGCATAAAGGGCAAGTACCTCAACATAATAAAGGCCATATATGACAAACCCACAGCCAACATCATACTGAACAGCGAGAGGCTGAAAGCTTTCCCTCTGAGATCAGGAACAAGACAGGGACTCCCACTCTCCCCACTGTTATTTAACATAGTACTACAGGTCCTAGCCATGGCAATTAGAAAAAACAAAGAAATACAAGGCATCCAAATTGGTAAAGAAGAAGTTAAACTGTCACTATTTGCAGATGACATGATATTGTACATAAAAAAACCCTAAAGACTCCACTCCAAAACTGCTAGAACTGATATCGGAATACAGCAAAGTTGCAGGATACAAAATCAACACACAGAAATGTGTGGCTTTCCTATACACTAACAATGAACTAATAGAAAGAGAAATCAGGAAAACAACTCCATTCACAATTGCAGCAAAAAGAATAAAATATCTAAGAATAAACCTAACCAAGGAAGTGAAAGACCTATGACCTGAAAACTATAAGACACTCTTAAGAGAAATTAAAGAGGTCACTAACAAATGGAAACTCATCCCATGCTCTTGGCTAGGAAGAATTAGTATCATCAAAATGGCCATCCTGCCCAAAGCAATATACAGATTTGATGCAATCCCTATCAAATTACCAACAACATTCTTCAATGAACTGGAACCAATAGTTCAAAAATTCATATGGAAACACCAAGGACCCTGAATAGCCAAAGTAATCCTGGGAAGGAAGAATAAAGAGGGGGGGATCTCGATCCCCAACTTCAAGCTCTACTACAAAGCCATAGTAATCAAGACAGTTTGGTAGTGGCACAAGAACAGAGCCACAGACCAATGGAACAGAACAGAGACTCCAGACGTTAACCCAAATATATATGGTCAAATAATATGATAAAGGAGCCATGGACATACAATGGGGAAATGACAGTCTCTTCAACAGATGGTGCTGGCAAAACTGGACAGCTACTTCTAAGAGATGAAACTGGACCATTGTCTAACCCCATACACAAAAGTAAATTCGAAATGGATCAAAGACCTGAATGTAAGTCATGAAACCATAAAACTCTTAGAAAAAAACATAGGCAAAAATCTCTTGGACATAAACATGAGTGACTTCTTCATGAACATATCTCCCCGGGCAAGGGAAACAAAAGCAAAAATGAACAAGTGGGACTATATCAAGCTGAAAACCTTCTGTACAGCAAAGGACACCATCAATAGAACAAAAAGGTACCCTACAGTATGGGAGAATATATTCATAAATGACAAATCCGATAAAGGGTTGACATCCAAAATATATAGAGTCACGCACCTCAACAAACAAAAAAGCAAATAATCCAATTAAAAAATGGGCAGAGGAGCTGAATAGACAGTTCTCCAAAGAATAAATTAAGACACACGAAAAGATGCTCCACATTGCTAGTCATCAGAGAAATGCAAATTAAAACCACAATGAGATATCACCTCACACCAGTAAGGATGGCTACCATCCAAAAGACACACAACAACAAATGTTGGTGAGGTTGTGGAGAAAGGGGAGCCCTCCTACACTGCTGGTGGGAATGTAAATTAGTTCAACCATTGTGGAAAGCAGTATGGAGGTTCCTCAAAAAGCTCAAAATAGACATACCATTTGACTCAGGAATTACACTACTAGGTATTTTCCCTAAGAATGCAGCAGCGCAGTTTGAAAAAGACAGATGCACACCTATGTTTATCGCAGCACTATTTACAATAGCCAAGAAATGGAAGCATTCTAAGTGTTCATCAGTAGATGAATGGATAAAGAAGATGTGGTACATATACACAATGGAATATTATTCAGCCATAAGAAGAAAACAAATCCTACCATTTGCAACAACATGGATGGAGCTGGAGGGTATTATGCTCTGTGAAATAAGCCAGGCAGAGAAAGACAAGTACCAAATGATTTCACTCATATGTGGAGGATAAGAACAAAGAAAAACTGAAGGAACAAAACAGCAGAAGAATCACAGAACCCAAGCAAGGTTCAGGGACTGGGGAGGATGGGTGGGAAGGGAGGGATAAGGGCAGGGAAAATGAAAGGGGGCATTATGATTAGCATGTATAATGTGGGGGGGCATGGGGAGGGCTGTGTAACACAGAGAAGAGAGTACAATTCTACAGCATCTTACTAAGCTGATGGACATTGACTGTACTGGGGTGTGTGTGGGGGACTTGGTTAAGGGGGAGCCTTGTAAACATAATGTTCTTCATGTAATTGTACATTAATGATTACAACAACAACAACAACTATATATATGAATTTGTTAACTTGTAATAGTGAAGACAGTAACAACTTTAGAGATTCAAAAATTTAAGTGCTCCCATATAATTTGCTAACAACGGTGATATCAATCTGAATGAAAAGAAAAATAACATGAAATATCTGATATTAAAACACCTTATATCATTATACTCTGACAACAATAAATAGATAGGAAAACTTAGGAAAAGAAGAAAAAGTATCTAAAAGTTGTGATATTATTTTCGGCATGGAAAATAAGAGCTTTACATTCCAGTTAACAATACTGCTGCACACTAACACACAATACTCAGACCAAAATCGTGACATTTTACCTGTTTCAGCAAATTCACAAAATGGTACACTTGGTCTCTTGTCTTCACAGACTTTTGTTAGTGTTTCGGCAATACAAGCACAAAATCTCTGGAAATCTGCAAAGTTTTCACAGCTCATTTTTATGTTAATGTATAAACTTCCCAATTTGGTCCAGTCACCTTTTTCTTTACAATGCTACCAGAATTATTAAAAACAAAACAAAACAAGAGAAAGCTGTCATTTATGCAAAAACATTATGGGGTAGGCATATGTAGGATTCGATATACAAATACTAGTAAGTACAATCTTTGCAAATCTTATCAACTTTCTGACAAGTGTTAGGACATCAATAACCTGCTACTGTATGATCTGCTTTTCTGACTACAGCAAAGCCTCTATAAATTAGAAATGGCAATGTATATTTGTTTTAATTATCTGGTTTCTAATATACTTGATGATGTCACCCTGAAACCTGAAACGCACAGTGGAGATAAATTTTGATGATTTACTGAAACAGATAATTAGGAGCATCTGTTGCTGCAGAAATAATATTTTTTTTATTACATTTAGTGGCTGCATATTACTATTACTTGGCCATTTATGATTTGGGGCCTGCATGTCATTTTGGACATTACATTTCTTTTATAAAAGGTGCTACCAAGTAAATTTCAGTAAACTTACTATTTTCCTATTATTTTCTTTTATAAATTAAGAGTTTTTCACATCAACAATTGTTCCACGAATATAAATATTAACTAAAACAAGGCCAACAATTATAAGATGAGTATAAAATGATCTAAGTTAAAAAGTAAAATCATCCTGGAAGTCTTTTTCTTATACTCTAAATGCTTAGAGAGGGCACACTGATCTTAGCTTTCCCCTCTCATTTCACATACTGCAGCCATCCATGGATCAGAACAAGAAAGACAACTTTCCTGTGCACTTAAGTGAGTCTGCCCAGAGACAATTAAAGGCTAAACTTTAGATTATTATACTTTAACATAAGTTAATTTTGAAACTGAACAACTATTCCAGAATTATTTTTAGGATAGTCCACAACTCTAGAAATTATGTTTACATTTCAAAGTATTAAAGGAATATTAAAGTTCTTTTACTTATGGACTTTCTTTATGTAACAGCCACATTTCTAAAACTTTTCCTAAAATACGGTTACTACTCAAAGTTTCTCATTCTTATTGGTTATCATGGATCCCAGCAATTTATTTAAAAAAATACGTATCATACCTCCATTTCATTCAAGGCTGAATCTAAATCACACTTCCAGTTCTTTTTAAATTGCCTCATTTGCAACCTTTAACAACAGAAAAGCATTAATTATGTTCATCCCCCAAAAGTCACTATTGCTTCTCATTCATTTGTTCTATAGTTTATACCTGAGAGATTGGGGAAAAAAGAATGCAGTAATCCACTATAAAAATTCTTTAGAGCTAAAGAAAATGGCAAATGCATAGATACCTATCTCACACTATTTCCCCCCATAAATCACAGGCAAAAGAGGGGAAAAAAACAAACTGTATGAAACCATTAAGTGCAGTGTAACTTGGAGGAAAAGAATGAAAAGCTTCAAAATAATTGTGAAAAAAAAAGAAAAAATTAAATCCTAGGACCTGATCTCTACTGCTCCCACTCCACTCTCATTTCTCCACAATGACCTGTGGCAAGCAGACAGACCAAAAACAAAGCAAAAGAATCTGTGTGGCACAATCAAAAGGTAAACTACCAGAGGGAAAATATTACCACAAATACTAAGTCCACACTACGCCTGAAAATGCCTTAAAAAAAAAAAAGTGTCTGAGTGACTGTAATGGGGTATGTGGGGGGGACTTGATAATAGGGGGAGTCTAGTAACCATAATGTTATTCAAGTAATTGTACATTAATCATATAAAAAAAACACAATGTTATCCAAAAATAAATAAACAGACGAACAAATGAACGAATAAATAAATAAATAATCTGCCTTGTGGGGTGGGGAGTAAATAAGTGTCTGGGTATATTAAAACACAGACCACACAGAAAGAACTTTTAAGTTTGTGTGATTTAAAGAAGGCATTCTGTGAAATGCACAGATTCTGGGGCAGAAAAATAGACAAACATGAAAGAATCACCCTTTGGCAACTAGAATGAGAAAAAGAAGAAAAAGGGAATAGAAGAGGGTGCCATTTAACTGACTATTGCATAAAAGTCAACTATGGTGTCAATTTTGGCAATCAGTCCCAATGTTCTATAAATTATTCCAGAGCATTGAAAAGGAAAGACAACTTCCTAATTCCTTTCATGAACCAAGTATAACATTAACACCTAACTAAAAACAATTTCTTAATTCCTTTCATGAAGCAAATATAATATCAATACCTAACTAAAGACAGAGCAAAGAAAACTAAGAATGATATCACTCATAATGGTGATGTAAAACACCAGATAAAATATTAACAAACAAATCAGTTTTACAAGATGAAGAGTTATGAGGGACAGGTGGTGGTGGCAGTTGCACAACAATCTGAATGAATTTAATACCAATGAAATGTACACTTAGAAATGATAAAAAGGGTAAACTTTATATTATGTGTATTTATCACCATAAAAATTTTTTTAAATATTGAAAAACAGAACGAAGACCATCTTAAGAAAATAATACACCATGGCAAAGTGGTATTCAAGTGGTATTTGAAGAATGCAAGGTAATTCAGTATTAGAAAATCCATCATATTAACAGATCAAAGGAAAAAATAATTTTTATCATAATAGATAATAAAAAAGACTGATAAAATTCAACATCAGGAAAGAGGTGCTAAACATGACGGTGTGAGTAGGGTGGTAGAAATCTCCTCCCAAAACCATAAACATTTTTGAAAGTACAGCAAATACAACTATTCCTAAGAGACCAGAAGATCCAGTACAACAGCCAGGCTACATCTACATCTGCAAAAACTCAGCATCCCACAAAAAAGGGTAAGATACAAAGCTGTGACCGGAGCACTGCCACCACCCCAGCTCACCAGCAGGAGGAAAGGAGTCAGAGTGGGAAGGGAGTGGAAGCACAGGACCGCAAATAACCAGCCCTAGTAATCTGCATTGGGAGCACAGACACACATCACATGCTATACTGGATACTGGAGAAATGGAAAAGTAAAATCTGAGACAGAAACTGGGCAGGTCCCCACAGTCAGCTCCCCTGGGACAAAAGAAAAACCAGCACTTTAAAGTCTTAAAGGGAAAAGGGTTTAACAAATCATCCTGGTGCAGCGAGCGCACCAGGCTGGGAATCTTGAGGAACTTCAGGTGCCTAATCCCCTGCGTGGCAATGAAGCCCCTCATGGTGATAAGCAGCCTGCCATTCATTCCCCCCTGCCGGTGCTCCAAGCAAACCGGCTGACCTGCCAGTGTTGTGAAGCAACCAGGGAGCAGCCCCGCCCAGAGCAACCACACAGAGTCTTGTCTCAGGACAGGAGGAAGAAGCCGTGCAAGTTCCGGAAGGCATGAAAGGGTGCCGTTCAGCTAGAGGGTATTATGCTCAGTGAAATAAGCCAGGCGGAGAAAGACAAGTACCAAATGATTTCACTCATATGTGGAGTATAAGAACAAATAAAAACTGAAGGAACAAAACAGCAGCAGAATCACAGAACCCAAGAATGGGCTAACAGTTAACAAAGGGAAAGGGACTGGGGAGGATGGGTTGGAAGGGAGGGATAAGGGTGGGGAAAAAGAAAGGGGGCATTATGATTAGCATGTATAGTGTGGAGGGGCATGGGGAGGGCTGTGCAACACAGAGAAGACAAGTAGTGATTTTATAGCATCTTACTATGCTGATGGACAGTGACCGTAACGGGGTATGTTGGGGGGACTTGGTGATGGGGGAGTCTAGTAAACATAATGTTCCTCATGTAATTGTAGATTAATAATACCAAAAGAAAAAAAAATCATAAAGGAAGATAGCAAGAGGAAGAAAGGAATAAAAGACTACAAAAGAGCCAGAAAACAACAAAACAGCAGTAGTAAATCCTTACCTATCAATTATTACTTTAAATGTAAATGGATCAAATTCTCCAGTCAAAAGATACAGAGTTGCTGAATGGATTAAAAAACATCACCCATTAAAGATGGCGGTGTGAGAGGTGAGACAGAGACTTCCACCTAAAACTATATAATATGAAAATATAATTAATACAACTAATCCTGAGAGAGCAACAGGAAAGAGGGCTGCGTCAGACTGCATACACCTGGTGAAAAGAGCAAACCTCACAGAACAGAGTAAGTAACAAAGCAGGACCCAAGTCCTTCCCCCAACTTAGCTCACCAGTGGGAGGAAGTGAAACTGAGCAGGGAGGAAGTGGAGGCCTAGGACTGCTGAATACCTAACTCCGGAGATCTGCTCTCGGAGCACAGGCAGAATTCCTGGACAGACTGAGATTCCAGCCACTTGTGGAAAGCAGGGATCCATATCTGGCTGCTCTGGGAAAAAAGCTTATACTTGTGTGCTTGGCCCACTGGTTCAGGCAGTGGAGACAGGCATAGCAGCCGGGAAGCAGGAAAGAGCTCTTTCCAACCCCCAGCCATGAATACCACTCAACTGTGACCCCTGACATTGCTTCAGGGGCTGAGCAGCTCAAGAGTAGAGCTTCTGGACACTAGAGGGCACCATATACAAATATGAAGTACCAAAGGAAAATGGTCCAGAGTAAAATTATTAATATAACTCCTGAGAAAGATTTAAATGACATGGACCTCATAACTCTTCCTGAAAGGGAGTTCAAAATAAAAATCATTAACATGCTAATGGAGGTACAGAAAGATATTCAAGAACTCGGGAATGAATTCCAGTCGGAGATCCAATCATTGAGGAGTAAAATGGAGGGTACTAAAAGCAGATTTGATACAGTGGAGGTGACGATAAATTAAACAGAAACTAGAGAAGAGGAATATAAAGAAGCTGAGGCACAGAGAGAAAAAAGGATCTCCAAGAATGAAAGAATATTGGGTGATCCAAACAGAACAATATTCACATTATAGGGATACCAGAAGAAGAAGAAAGAGAGAAAGGGATAGAAAGTGTCTTTCAGGAGGTAATTGCTGAAAACTACCCCAATCTGGGGAAGGGGACAGCCTCTCAGGTCATGGAGATCCACAGATCTCCCAACACAAGGGACCCAAGGAAGACAACACCAAGACATATAGTAATTAAAATGGCAAAGATCTAGGATAAGGACAGACTATTAAAAGCAGCCAGAGACAGAAATAAGATCACATACAAAGGAAAGCCCATCAGGCTATCATCAGACTTCTCAGCAGAAACCTTACAGGCCAGAAGGGAGTGGCATGATGTATTTAATGCCATGAAGCAGAAGGGCCTGGAACCATGATTACTTTATCTGGCAAGATTATCACTTAAATTTGAAGGAGGAATTAAACAATTTCCAGATAAGCAAAAGCTGAGAGAATTTACCCCCCACAAATCATCTCTACAGTCTATTTTGGAGGGACTGCTATAGATGGAAGTGTTCCTAAGGTGGAATAGCTGTTACTAGAGGTAATAAAACCACAGTAAAGAAAGTAGAACAGCTAATTACTAAGCAAATGCAAAATTAAATTAACTATCCTCAAAGTCAATCAAGGGACACACAAGCACCACAGAATATGATACCTAATATATAAAGAATGGAGGAGGAAGAAAAAGAAAAAGAAAAGAACCTTTATATTGTGTTTCTAATAGCATATTAAGTGAAGTAAGTTAGACTCTTGGATAGTAAGGAAGTAAACCTTGAACCTTTGGTAATCACGAAACTAAAGCCTGCGATGGCAATAAGTACATACTTATCTATAATCACCCTAAAAGTAAATGGACTGAATGCACCAATCAAAAGACACAGTGTCATTGAATGGATAAGAAAACAAGACCGATCTATATGCTGCCTATAAGAAACTCACTTTAAAGACATACACAGACTAAAAGTGAAGGGATGGAAAACATATTTCATGCAACCAATAGAGAGAAAAAAGCAGGAGTTGCAGTATTTGTATCAGACAAAATAGACTTCATAACAAAGAAAGTCATGAGAGACAAAGAAGGACATTACATAATGATAAAGGGGTCAATCCAACAAGAAGATATAACCATTATGAATATCTATGCTCCCAACACAGGAGCACCTACATATGTGAAACAAATACTAACTGAATTAAAAGGGGAAAAAGAATGCAATGCATTCATTCTAGGAGACTTCAGCATTCCACTCACTCTGAAGGACAGATCAACCAGAAAGAAAATAAGTAAGGAGACAGAGTCATTGAACAA